CACAAAATACTTGTACATGGATGTTCACGGCAGCTTTGTTCGTAACGGCCAGAAAGTGCAAACGACCCAAATGTTCGTTAGTGAATGAATGGATAAAATGTGGTTCTATACAGCGGAATGTTATTCATCTAAAAAGGGAACGGAGTTATGATTCAGGCTGCAGTGTGGGTGAGCCTGGAAAACACTGTGCTAAGGAAGAGAAGCCAGACACAAGAGGCTGCATATTCTAGGGTTCCATCGGAAAGAAAGGTCCAGAGCAGGCAAATCCACAGAGACCGGAAGTAGATGCGTGGTTGCCAGGGGCCGAGAGAAAGCGGAGTGACTGCTAATGGGTCTGGAGTTTCTTTGGAGGGTGATGAAAATAGTCTAAAATTATCATGATGAAGGTTACACAAATTTTGAATACATTTTTTTTTTCTTTAAAGGCCACAAAGTGGATGAGGCCACTCCGGGAGCAAGTCTAGAGAGAGAAAAGGCCCAAAGACTGAGCCCTGGGCCCACTTGTGATTGGAGGTCCGAAAGGTGAGTCACCAGCTAAGGAAGTGGAGGGGAAAGGGCCAAGGACATAGGAGGCAAAGGAGAACGGGGGGGCTGGAGTGGCAGCTGCCCCCTTTTGGGCTGAAGGGCCCGTCCAGCTTGCCCTGCACCTGCCTTGACCCGTCTCCATTATGCACCAGGCCCAGTCTGACTGGAGATGGGCAGGGACACGTTCACCACTGGGGGTCCTGAGCCACGCCAGCAGCTGGTGCACAGTGGCATCACCAGGAAACAACCAAAAGGGGCAGTGACAGTCAGCCTCCCCTCGGGCACCTGTCATTTGCGCACTAGGGGCATTACCCCAAACCTGAATCATTTCCCTGGAAACACTGATGGAAAACTCAACAAAGCCTAAAAATGCCAACTGTCTATCCTGAGCCTGGGCTGGAGGCTGAGATAGAATGTTCCGGCTATTCTTAGGCAATGTTCAACTTCAGCCTTTTTCGGGCTGCTCCCAATGAGGCTTTCAATCTCGCCTCTTCTGTCTTCCCACCCGGGCTCCTTGACCCTGTCTGCCTACTGGCTTCGGAGTTCAGCTCAAACAAGGGGGCTCAGAGGGCCACAGGGACATCTGTGAGGGCGTCAGCATTGCAGGGGCCGGAGGAGGAGGCTTGAGGGTTTGGGCTCATGGCATCGTCTTTTAAAGTCCGCTGGAAAATGTGACAGGAAGGAGGGACTCAGGAGGGGTATGAAGAGTTGTCCACAATCCCAGCTGTTCTCTGATGCAAGCGTTCCAGCTGTGGGTGCCAGAGGCCAGGGCACAGAGCAATTCTGTCAGGCGGGGAGCATGGCACGTCCCCGAAGGAATCCAAGGGCCTGCTGGCTGGTCCCTGGTGCTATCTGCACTCCCGGTAAACACAGCTGGAGACCGAGGAAACGGGGCGAGTAAACAGCCATTTGGTCAGGCAAACCCACAGCCAGGCTGCATCATCATTTCCTGTGGGCAGTTACTCTAGTTCTGTTCTTCTCCGTCTGCTCTCCTGGGAATCCAGAGCCCATAGATCCCACCAGACCAAACTGTGGCCCCTGGGGCCTCAGAAACGCCTGGGCCTCCCATTGCGAGCTTAGAGTCCGCCCCCATACATAGGTCTAGCTCCATTACTTGTTAAAATACGTTATGGAAACAGCCACTCCCCACACCCGCTGAGACCCCAGACTTTTCCAAGGTCCAGAAACCAAAGCGTTAATACCTAGGAAGCCTCGGTTGGGCTGTGGGGCTAGAGTCGGCCTTTGCTCTAATGGGTCAGATGTTCAAGGTTTTAAAACCCAGGAAAGAAGGAACAGAGCAGCCACTGAGCCACAAAACCAAGGCCACCGACCTTCCCAGACCCCCGCTTAGGGAACTGAGAAGGTCAGCATCCCCAGAACCTAAGCACTCTGGCAGCTTAATTCCCCAAAGTGCTTAACAGGCAGGGTAGCCTCATGGTTGGAGGGCGGACCTCTAGAAAAGGGCTCAAATCGTGAGCCCTACAGCTCCCCTACTATGTGGCCTGGAACTGGCCACTTCCTTCCTCTGTGCCTCAGTCTCTCAAGTGGGGCTCACCGCAGGGCCTCGCTCATCGAGTTGTTCTAAGAATTAAGTGAATAGATGTCCGATCATCTGTATGAATAACAGCCGCATCTGTGTTAGTACAAACCGCATATTACACGTCAGTAAACTGAGGCCCAGAGGAGTGACGTGCACCAAGTCAGGCAGCGAGTAAATGGTGGAGCTAGAATTGAAATCCCAGCAGCCTATGGCTACAAAGCCTGGCTCTACCCCAGGGGTCAGCAGACTTTTTCTGCAAAGGGCCAGATAGTAAATATTTTAGGCTTTGTTGGCCACATCCGGCCTCTGTGACACAGTCTTCTTTGTTTGTTTTTTGGGTCTGTTGTGTTTTTTTTTTTTAACAACCCTTTAAAAAAATGTAAACATCATTCTTAGCTCCTGTGTTGTACAAAAACAGGCCACAGGCTAGGTCTGGCTCACAGGCCACAGGGTTGGCAACCCCTTGCCCTAAACTGCTACAGAGCCCTGCCTCTTAAATGCAGGCATCCAGTGCACGTTTGGAAAACACCACCAGACAGACCTAATGAAGCACACCTGTAGGTCCAGTTCAAGCCACAGGCTACCAGTTTGCAAGTTCCACCTGGAGCTCCTTCTGCACCAAGGTGAAGAGCTAGAGACACACGGCATTTCAAACACGTGTTTACGGGTCAAGAGCAGCGGCGAGAACAACCACAGAAGGTCCTTTTGAGATCCCTGGGACAGACAAACAGCAGGAGGCCAGAGGAGGTACAGAGAGTACTGTCCCACCAGCCATGGCTGCACAGGTTAGAGGCCTCTGTTCACAGACCCCAGAAAGGGTCTGGTCCAGCTCAGAGACTCAAGGGTCCCCCACCATCTCCAGCAGAAAGCCAAGTTCAGGTTGGCCCTAGTAATCTTCCCCTCCCTCCGCTCTGCCTTCCAGTTGATGGAGCAAGGCCTCAATGACAATGATGTGGCCTCAATGACAGGTGCATGAATGAGGCACCATCAGCCAAATTAATCCACCAGCAGGGACCCCCAAGGAACAGCCGTCAGATGCCAGACCTTCGGGATGGAGCCAGGGCAGGCTTGGGCCAACAGCCACCATTTCCAAGGGTCGAAAACCCTGGGCGGAGAGCAGCGGACAGTGGCAAGGCCATCCACCCAGCTGGGGATCCACCCAGAAGCCAACTCTGAAGC